AAAATGCGCTGAACCCTCGTAAAAGTGCATTTCAAAATTCAAAAAATTTTCCCTCCTTCATTGCGAGGGGTATCCCCTAGCTAAATGTTTATATTTTTTTCTCCCCTATTTTGCAGTTTGCGAGGCGTTTAACCCCAAGCAAATGGTTTTATTTTAGTGAGGGGTTTTCCCCCTAACCCATGCCCCTAACTAATTCAATGTTTTCTTGTAGTGTATATCTGACATAATGCTATTAATAAAACCTTATAAAAGTAGGTGAATAGCTTTGTATTAATTAGGCTTTTGATGATTAAAAGAAAGAAGAATGATAAAAATAACAAAGTTATCACTTAGTTGTCATTTTTCATATAGTAAGAGATAAGGTATTAGTAGAAAGAGAAATGATATTTTTACACCTAATTCTTACACCTACAGCGTATTTCATTGTTTACCAATACTATAATAATATTTTTTTATTAGAAAGTATTTATAATAAATTATTGATTAACCAATTTTATAACTTTATTAACTAACAATTTATGTTGTATTAACCAATTTTAGTGACTGCTAAAAATTATTTTTAATATCTGGACGTTTATTAACCAACTTTATAACTTCATTAACCAACTTTTTACTTTTCATTAACCAACTTTGATTTGCTATTAAAAAATATTTTTAATATCTGGGCTTTTATTAACCAACTTCATCACTTCATTAATCAATTTTTTATATTTCATTAACCAACTTTATTCACTCTTAAAAAGTCATTATTCATATATTATACGCAAACACTATTTACAGTACTGTTCACGAACACATGCACTGTTCACGAACACATGCACTGTTCATGTACTGCTCACCATATTAGTGAACAATGCATACATTGTAATGTATGCTTTTGGTGTAAACATGGTATTGAGTTGTAAAAATAATACATCCACACATTTCATCATCTGTGCAGTCTCATTGTAAAAAGTTATTTATGTCTATATTACATCCCCATAAATAATTGCAAAAAAGACAATAACATTATGGGGAATCACACTATGATAAGTGAAAATATGGAGCTCTATCACACTAAAATTTGTATCTCCTATCTCGTAAAAGGAGATGACTTTGCTATCTCCAAACAAAGTCTTAAAAATATGGAGCTCAATCACACTCTTCTCCATGCCAAAACGGTTCAAATGCATTTTTATCTCCTATCTCGTGTAAAACACATTAAAATGATATAAAACAATCTTTAGTCATCTACCATGCTTTGATCTCATATCTTATAGTTTATTATTTTTATGAAAATATACACTAGCTAATGATGAATGACCATTAACATTTGAACCATCTAAAATATGTAACACACATATTTTAGACCCTTTTAGCCATTATCACTCCACTATGCCAAATCTTTAATACCCTATGTCAAACTCTAGTACAATAGCCTAGATCATCAAACATGACTCACATTTATTATGACTAATAAATTACGCTTGAGTTCGCGAACATATCTCAAATTGCATAGAAGGAACTCATGTTTATCAAATATTTTATGTCTGATTGTACCAATATCATGAACCTTGCAAGCCTGATTGTTGATGAGTTGAACAACTCCACCATCTTCCAGCTTCAAAGTCTTAAAGTATTGTTTTTGTAGGCACATGTGATAAGAGCATCCTAAGTCCATAACCTAACTTTTTTTAATTTGTCATACTCGAAACTACTAGTGCACCAACATTCTCATAACTATCCTCATATGAGGCATCTATAATCTAAACATAATATTCATTATCCTCCCTCTTGGGACAATATTTTTTAAAATGACCGATTTTTTTTTAATAAATAAAGCATTTTAACATTGAATTATATAACCTATTAGATTTAGAAATCTCTATAAGCTCGCTTCATCCTTTCAAGACACTCGTGTCATCACCACTATCATCAATCTTCAAATGTTTCACCTTTGAAAATTTATTGGAGCTCACGTCTGTTTAGACTTTATCCAAAGGATATGGATAATAAACATAACAAAAGTAGAATGGTGTATTCATCATAAATGTTCACTTCAATATTCTATAGAACCTAAATGGTCTTTTGAATATGCTATCAACTACTCTATTATAGATTTGTTCCTACCATTCGGAACAAATAGATTTTTTTTTTTGTTTATAACACAACCTTTGAGCCAAAAACTTGATCATCTACAATAATTAAGGATTTTCCCACATCTTCCTTCTTCGTGGCACAAAATAATAGCACTATAGGAATTATCCATAATCTATGTCTTCTCCGCGTGTGTTAGTTGTGCAAACATCGATGGCACTTCAATTAAGTTAAGATTACTTGCATATTCACTTTACACAACCCCAATTTGTTGTTTCCAAAAAACTTCTTGATATCTCACAGAACTAATAATGCTCAGTTGTAAACTTAGTCCATTTCCCTACAGTAGATGTCACTTGTTGTCGAATTGAAAGTTCAATCACAACAAGATCTTCTTATTTAAAAATAAGGGAAATCAAAATCAAATACCTCAAGCACAAATTAACATGAGAAACAATTTAATAAAATCCAAAAAAAGTAAGAAAATATATATAAACAATGAGTATACAAAGAATTTGTTTATCCAACACTATCGAAGTAACATTCAGACTTCTTGGATTGTAAAGTGGCATCCTACTTAGATAGAATTATATTTTATTTACTAATTATTGAGTCGAGAAGTAGGGTGTTACATTCTATGGGACAAAGCCAATTGTGAAGCTGAAGACTCTGGTGTTGAACCTATTCCTCTGGTGCTGAAGACTTTATAAGAGCTAAAGCAACATAGTAAAGTTGTTAGGACTCTCCAGGACAAGCAGGATGAAATGTTCAAGGAACTGGCTCAGACTATCACCAAGATTGAATGGATGCTTCAAGCCATTATGTCCAGATTGCCAACCCCGACTTAGAAACCCTCTTTTAAAAACTTGTTGCTTTCTTGCTTTTTGATTAATTCTTTTATTTTCATTTTTGTACTTTTATCATTCTTAATGAAATGAGGTTTCTACCGTCTTTTTACTCTGTCTTTATTATTGTTTTCCTTTTTGATTGATTACAAAGGAGGAGAAGAGTGGACACGAATTTTGATATACTTATTTCCCTTATGAATCTCAAACATCCGATACAGGCCTTTTATATTTTTGACTCTAATTGCTAATCTGTGAAATTTGAATAAGTTCACCATATTGCTAACTTTTCAATCAAGTTAACTAGGTTATTCAGAAGTTAAGAACTTCCAGAACTTCATAGTCAAAAGGCATTAACCAGGCATTTAAGATTTCTAAACCAAGTTCTGCTACATGATTCTGAAGTAAGACACATTGCTGATAGCCAAACTTTCTGATACATGAAGCCAAGTTAGTTCTAAAGAAATTTCAACCAGGCTTATTTGTTTAGGGAAGTTATTTATTTCATGCTGATTGAGATATTTTATGTGTTAAAATTATTTTAAGTCTTAAACTCAGGGGGAGCTTGCAAAGCTACCTCTGAAGTTCTAAGCTGAAAAATAATCTTAATAACATAAGATTCAGGGGGGCTTACAAACATCACTTTGATACCTTTATATGATAAAACCAAGTAAAAATTGTTCATTAAAATGTATTGTTTTGTCATCATTAAAAAGGACGAGATTGTAAGAACAAGATTTATACCCTAATACTTTTTTTAGTGTAAAAATTCTATATACAAGTCCTGACTCTGATTATAGGAAGTGTGAGATCATTAGATTCTAAAGCTAGTGCACTTCGACTCTAAGATATATGCTTAAAGTTGATTAAGTTCTGGATTATGTACTCAATGCTTCTGACATTTACGCATCCAAGGCTTTATTACTCTGAAGCTTCTAAAGTGGATATGCACTAAAGCCCTACGCTCAAAACAACTCTAAAATGTGTCACAAAACTCTGAAGACCAGGTTCTGATGAATTGGATCAAGACTCCGAACACCAAGTTTTTGAAGATTCTCTCAATCAAACTCTTATTCCTCTCTTATACATGCTTCATCACCTTTCTATCAGAAGCCTATGAATATTGAACATAAGATCAAAAGGTTTACATGAGAAAAATATACACATTACAAGATTAAATATTCCTTCCACTCCACTAATTTTGTGAGCTAAGAACTATATTATTATACAAATTTGTCTCCCATTTTCATAAATTGTTATGCAAGGATACAGTTGCATTTTGGTATTCCAATTCTACCCTCCCACGGATCTTTTCATTGCCTATACAAAGAAGACTTTGAAGAATGGAAAAACTCTAATGCTACGGTACACTCTAAGAGATTATCATATATGTGAACAATGCACTTTATGAAATATTTTGAGAGAAAAGAAAAACTCACATTACAATTTTTTATTCATACTCTTCATTGAATAAATTCTGCGTGATCTACTCGTAATTCATTTGTGTATTCTGCTTTCTTAGAAGTATTTTGTAAACACACTTTGTATCTCAATTTATTTGATTGTATTTTCCTTGAGTGATTAGAGTTTAGTCAGTATTAGTCAAGAATACATTGACTGTCGGTCTTTGTGTTGTAATCAAGTTTGATTATAGTTGATTATGTCCTTGTTGATAAGAAGAAATCACCATGGCGGTGGACTGGACGTAGCTTAGTTAACAGCGAATCAAGATAAAAAATAATTGTTTCATTATTTGTGTTCTTCATTTTGCGTTTATTATGATGGATTGAAAAAGATTTCATTTTGAGAAACCCAATTAAAACCCCTCATTTTTGTGTTTCTCCTCACCTCCAATGCTTTAGTGAAAAACAATACAACAATACTAGATACATTATAAACTTTGACTTTATTTAGAATTTAATTTATATGTAATTATAATGTAAAATAATTTAACACATATTTCCAAAATTATTTTTCAACAGTTTAAATATATATTAAAGAAAAATATTTGATGGTTATATTTAATTTGATATATGTGTAAACTTATTTTCATAATCAATGCATACAAATTAAAGTGCGTTATTTATTATCATGTGACAATTCAAAGGCTTCCTTCACCATGGTCCATGTTCCTTTTTTGTTGAAGAACTCTTCAAGAAACTCAGAGAAGTGGTAATTTTTGTATTTGGGAGGGTGTTCTTCATCTATTAGTTCTTGAATTGGACCAATTATCGTGTCCGGACTTGGCTCAAAAAACATCCCCATCGACAATCGTTGATTTAAATTGTTGGTAACAGCCCTGTGAAGCACACTTTTGTATCTTCCATTGCTTAAAACCTACATATGAAATTAGAAATTATACAAGACACACTTTAAATTATTTTCAAGTGATATCAAATATATATAAAAGTTTGCATTGTTATTTAAATAGATTAAGGTAAGTAAATGAGTTAAATGAGTTTAAAACTTGCGTACCAAAAGGGTAATATTTTTACATTCATCCTATTAGAATTTTTGGTTTCTAAAGCATTTAACAAAAAAGTTTATAAACGGTAAATGCTTAAAACATGATGAATTACTAATTTAAATGGTAAACTAAAATTTTGTTTGCGAGTTTGGAGGAAAAAATAAGAGAGAATTTTGAAAAAATAAAAAGAAATAATAAGTGAAAATAATTGAAGATGTGGATTTTGGGTGTTTAATTTTATTCATATCTAAAAATCTCGGAAGTTTGAAGAAATTTAAAAATTGAATTGAGAAGGAATTTGAAAGAGTGACACAAAATTTTCAATTTTAATTATGTTATTTTAATATTTTTAAAATATATTAATGATAAACATTTATCATTTATCATTTTATATAATATCATTCTTTAAAAAAATCTTCTTCCAAAACTCTTCATTCCTATTTTCTCCTAATTCGCAAACATAATAAAAGGATAAGGTACGTGAACAAAAACAAAGGTTAATATTGGAATAAGATACTCAACGACGACAATAAACCATTTCAAAGGAGTTTAAATCCATCATCTTATGTATTTTGGCTATGGAGATAATAAGTAATAACAAAGGTGGTGACAAACAAGATAAAAATCATGCATCTTAATCTTAATACTACAACTCAAGAGCAAAAAGGAGATTAATTTCAAATATTAGTGTGATAAGAAAGATGTAAGGAAATAAAACAATAATGAAAATAAAATTGGGACATAATTAAATATGTTAAAAGTTGTCAATTTATTTATGATTTAAGATAAAATAAATAAGATATTTTTTTCTCATGAGACAGAGAGAATATTAGATTTTAGTTATTAACATTTGTTTCATATAAACATTAAATTATATTAGATTTTGTTAGTGCGTGAGACATTTGTAGTGATGAGAGAAAGAGAGAGAATAAGAAAATAAAAATTTATATTATTGAATGAATGATAATAAAACTGAATTACAAAGTGTTTATTTATATGCATCTAAGTGACTTGACTACTGAGCAACAAATATAACAAGCTAAGTATCAAACCCTAAACCTTAATTAGCTTTGGGCTTGAGCCACATAATTTAACTCGGATTATATCTAATATCTCAACATACCCCCTATAATTCAAGTTGTCGAAACACACTAATCATTGTCGACCTGAATTGTTTCCAATTTCTTTCTCAACATTAGGAACCTGTCGATCTTAAATCCTTTGGTGAAAATGTCAACCAATTGTGATTCACTCGAGCAATGCCTTACTTCAAGTCCGCCTCGATTCACCTTCTCCCTTAAGAAGTCAAATCTAGCTTTGATGTGCTTATTTCTTCCATGCAAAACTCAATACTTCTCCAGATTTATGGCTGACTTGCTGCCGATCTACAGTACCAGAGATTCCTTCACTTCGACCTTCATTTCTTTAAGCACATATCTGATCCAAATTGCTTGACACACAACATAGAATCCTGCTATATATTCAGCCTCACACGATAATAATGCCACCACAGGTTGTTTTCTCGAGCATTATGAGATTGAGGCACCAAATAGTTGAAAGAAATATCCATTAGTGCTTCTCTGATCTTCCTTATATCCACACCAACCAGCATCTGAATAACAAGTAACCATAGCATCTTTACTTTTAGAGTCTCTTCGAAATAGAATTCCATAGCTTGTTGATCCTTTTAAGTATCTCAGGATTCTTCTTGCAGCCTTCATGTGTGACACCCTCGGTTCACTCATGTATCTGCTCACTAATCCAACTGAGAAACATATATCAGATTGGCTGTTGCACATATATCTTAAAGATCCGATAATTTGTTTGAACAAAGTTGCATCGACTTTGTCTTCTTTTCCATGCTTCTCCAACTTCAAGTTTGGTTCGATAGGCAAAGATGCAGGAGTATAATCATCCATTATGAATCTCTTGAGTATCGCTTTGGTATACTTTCTTTGATGTAGCACTATAAACTTTTTTCGACATTTAAAATTCTTTGCCTTGGAAGTACGACAACTTTCCCAAATTTGACATCTCAAATTCCTTTTTCATCAGTTCTTTGAACTTCGACAAGTTCTCCAAACTACTTCCTATTACTAACAAGTCATCGGCATATAAGCAGATAATTTTTATATCTTATGCCACAACCTGAACATAGACACCATACTCAAATTTGCATTTGACGAATCTCAATTTGACCAAGTATGAGTCAATCTTCTTGTTCCATACCATAGGTGCCTGCTTGAGACCATAGAGCGTTTTGTGCAACTTGTATACTTTCCTTGCTTTCTCCTGAATCACAAACCCAAGAGGTTGTGTGACATACACCTCTTCATCTAAAGGTCCATTCAAAAATTCTGATTTTACATCTAAGTGAAATGTCGACCAGCCTTGATTGCATGCCAAGGCTACCACAAGTCAAACAGTTTCTAATCTCGCGACAAGTGCAAATACTTCAGAGTAATAGAGTCCTGCTCTCTAAAGAAATCCTCGAGCTACCAATATTTCCTTATGTATTGCTATCGAGCCATCAACATTGTGCTTCAACTTGAATACTACTTCACTTCGATAGCTTTTGTATGAGCTAGCAATTCGACCAACTCTCATGTATTGTTTCTTTCAATTGCTTGTAACACTTTGACCATAACAAACTTCAACTGTTTATCTCTAAAAACTTCACTATAGTTGATTGGTTCAGCACCTGCAAGGAAATCAAAATGGACTAGTTCTCCATCTGTTGTGACTTCATCATCACCAACCACTTCATAGTCTTGAAGTCTTGTTCGACGAGCTCTAGTTCTTTGAGGTCTCTGGCTTGTTCCAGCCATATCCTCTATGACTTCGACTGTGTGAGGTATATCAGCAACAACTTCGACTTCAACTAGAATATTGATAATATCTTTGACTTCGACATCATTACTTGCTTTGTCGAAATCATAGCTCATCAATGGCTTGTCAATTGCAATACTAGAATTCCATCCCCAGACAAAATTTTCATCAATCACAACGTCTCGATTCATCACGATCTTATTGTTCATTGGATTAAATAGCCTGCATGCTCTTGTCTTATGATATCCTACCAAAGTAATAGGTTCGCTCTTGTTATCAAGCTTCCTTCTTCTTGCATCAGTAACATGCTTGTAGAAAATAGAGCCAAACACCTTTAGATGACTCACTGATGGTTGTTTGTCACTCCACACTTCTTTAGGAACCTTTTTCTTCAGCTTCTTGGTAAGACACCTATTCAGAATATAAACAACATCCGAAACAGCTTCACCTTATAAGGACTTTGGAAAATTCTTCTGCTTCAGCATGCATCTCGCCATGTCCAATATGGTCTTGTTTCTTTTTTCTTCTATTCCATTATATTGAGGAGTATAAGGAGCATCTATCTCATGATCAATATTATGTTCTGCACAAAATGCTTCAAATATCTTAGATGTGTATTTGCCACCTCCATCTATTCACAAAACTTTGATCTTCTTTTCACCCTGGTTTTTGACAAGTATCTTGAATCTCTTAAAGATTTCAAATACTTCGTTCTTTTGTTTGATCACATGGATCTAGAGCTTTCAATTGTACTCATCGACAAATGAGGCGAAATATCTGTTGCCACCAATGGTATGCTCTTCAAAAGGATCACATACATTTGAATGTACAACTTCGAGTATGCAGGATGATCTCATTGGCAAAGTCGAAACGAAAGACTTCCTGGGCTGCATTCCGACTAGACAACCTTCACAAAGTATGTCAGGCATGTCAAAACTTGGTATGCTAGTTACCATGTCTTGAGTTATCAATTGATTGAGCGAACTAAAGCTTAGATGACCAAACCTCAGATGCCACAACCAACTATTCTTGCGGTCGACAACTACTTTTAAGACCTTGTACCTCAGTCGAACTAATCATGGTCTTAAATGTCCTATTCTTCAACAGAGGAGATTTCAAGACCAAGTTATTCTGGATGTTGAAAAGTTATAAGGCTCCATATTTCAAAACCACTGAGAACCCCTTTTCGACCAGTTGTCCAACACTTAGTAGATTGAACTTCATTTTGGACACATAGAGTACATCTTTGATCAAGGATTTTGCTTCATTACTCCTTTGAATAACTATGTTGTCAGCACCTTCTACTTGCAATGAGCTATTATCAGCAAGTTTGAAACTGCTCTTCTTTAACCCGTCAAAATCTACTAACCATATTTTTTCAACCAGTCATGTGGTTCGAGCAGCCTGAGTCGAGGAACCAGACTATGGATTTGACATGGTCATCTACAACTGCAACTATAACAACCATATCATTTGAATCATCTGAATCTTGACGTGCAAGGTTCACTCCTTCGTCCTTGCCTTTTTTCGATCCCTTATCTTTCCTATACCAACAATGCTTGGCCAAGTGAGCCCACTTTTCACAGTTATAGCATTTCATACCTTTTTTTATCTACTTTGTCTTTCTGATAGGAATTTCCTTATCTTCTTTTGGAGGATTAGGAAGTGCTATCATCGATCTTATTCTTGTGAGGATTCGACCAAGACTTCTTGCCTGAGTCTTGTTGATTTTTCCTTTGGACTTGTTCAAACCACTATTCTTTATCCATGACTGAGCCTGTAGTACTTGTATCGAGTATTGAACTCCTTTTCTTTCGATAATCCGAATCTCATGCGCCTCCAACGAACCAACCAAATCTTCCAATTTTAGGGTTTCAAGATTGTTAGATTCTTGAATAGCTACGATAATGTGATCAAAGTGAAATGTCAACGTACACATTACCTTATCAAATATCATCTAATTAGTTAGGCTTTCGCCATAACCATTCTTGAGATGGAAGAGTTTCTGCACCTTCAAAACATAGCTAACAATCTTTTCGTCTTCTCCCATCGGCAATAATTCATATTGTCGTCATAAAATTTGTAACTTGACAACCTTGACTTTATCGACTCCTTCATAGTACTTGACAAGAATATCCCATGCCTCCTTCGCTGATTTAGCATGAGTGATTCTATCAAAACTAGCTGCATCAACCTCCGATTGGATGTAAAATGCCGCTTTGCAATCCTTCTTCTTAGCATCCTTGTAAGTGATTCCTTGTGCGTTGGTTGCATCTTCACCAAGCACAGGAACACCGTTAGTAACCACTTCTAGGGTTTCATTAAAGCCAAATAGATATTGCATATGTTTTCTCCATCGAAGTCAATTCTTGCAGTCAAGAGTTGGAAGAGAGTTTGGTAAATTTATGTTACCATTCATCTTTACAGCGATTGATCAACAACAACCCACGATCCCGAAAACACGATCTCTAACATGTGATTCTTGAAAACACGACCAAGAATCTAACTTAAGCTTTAGATACCAATTTGTTAGTGCGTGAGGCATTTTTAGTGAGGAGAGAAAGAGAAAGAATAAGGAAATAATGATTGATATTATTAAATGAATGATAATAAAACTGAATTACAAAGTTTTTTATTTATATACACCTAAGTGACTTGACTACTAAGCAACAAATACAACAAACTAAGTAACAAACCCTAAACCCTAATTAGCTTTGAGTTTGGACCACATAATTCAACTTAGATTATATCTAATATCTCAACAGATTTTACATAACAATATTTTCTCTTTTTAAAATTTTCACTAAATCTTATAAAAGTAGGTTAATAACTTTGTGTTAATTCAAATTTTGATAAATAAAGGAAAGAAGAATGATAAAAATAACATACAAAGTTATCACCTACTTAGTTGTCGCTTTTCAAATATACTAAGTGATAAGGTAGTATCCAAAATGTTACATCCACACATTTCAACATTTGTGTAATCTCATAATAATAAAATATTCCTATCTGTGTTATGGCCCCATAAATAATAGTAAAAAAGACAATAGTATTGTAGGAAATCACACTGTGATAAGTGAAAATATGGAGCTATATCATTCTAATTTTTTTTATCTCTTATCTTGTTAAAGGATATGACTTTGTTATTTGCAAACAATGCCTAAAAAATATGGAGCTCAACCACATTAAGAATCTTACTCCCCTCCATGCCACAACCGATCAAACGCATATTTATCTCATGTAAAACACATTAAAAATGATATAAAATGACTCTAGGCATTTACCATGCTTTGACCTCGTATCTTATAGTTTGTTCTTTTCATGAAAGTATTCACTAGATAATGATGAATGACCAATAACATTTGAACTATCTAAAATATATAACTCACATATTCTAGACCCTTTATCCACGATCATTCTACTATGCAAAATTTTCAATATCCCATATCTAACTCTAGTACAACAACCTAGATCATCAAACATGTCTCACATTTCTTATGGACGACAAACTATGCTTGAGCTCGGCAACATACCTCAGATTGCATAGAAGAAATTCATGATCATCGAACATTTTATGTCTTATTGTACCAACATTGTGAACCATGCAAGCTTCTAATTATTTATGAGTTGAATAACTTCATTATCTTCCAGCTTCAAAGTCTTAAAATATTGTTTTCAAGAGCACATGTGATAAGAGCATCCTAAGTCCATAACCCAACTCTTTTCCCTTTTCATACTTGAAACCAATAATGCACCAACATTCTCATAACTATCCTCATCTGATGCATCTATAATATAAACATAAGCATTCCTTGGAGAATTCCTTGGAGCTCACAACCATTTGAGCTTCATCTAAAGGATATGTGTAATAAACTTAACAAGAGTAGAGTGACGTACTCATCATAAACGTTCACTTCAACATTCTATAGAACATAAATGATCTTGTGAATATTTTGAAAACTACTATATTATATATTTGTTCTCTATTATTCGAAATGAGTAGATTTGTTGTTTATAATACAACATTTGAGCCAAAAACTTGATCATATACAATAATTCAAGATTTCCCCACATCGACGTCAGAGTCTGTTCCCTGACGATTTTCCTTAGAACTTTATTCTCTAGGAAAAAGAAATTAGCACTACAAGAATTATCCACAAGATTTTGTTTACCTAGCTCTATCAAACTAATTTACTTTGAAGGAGAGATCAACTCTCTGATTTAGTGCTTTCAAAATTTGTTACAAGAGATTACAAATGAGTTACAAGAAAATAATTTCTCGCATGATTGTCAAACTCGCGGGTAGACTCGTAAAATCGTACGAGTTTACCAGTCTAGGAAGCATAAATGAGTAGACTCATGCATGTGATTAATTTTTGATAGACTTGAGTAGACTCGGGTAGACTCGCACGAACTATTATAGACTCGCGAGTCTATAACGAGTTTACGAGTCTATAAGTTTTTTTTAAAATTTTTTTAAAACTAAATAAATGCCTAAATTCTCCAAAAGATTTTATTTTATTTTTTTAATAAAAAAAACACTTATTTTTTTTCTTGTACGAGAATTAAAAAGTCTCTTATTTCAGAAAAGTTTCTTCCTCCCTTTGTCATCTGCGTAAGTTTGTAATGTCTCTTGCTTTGTTTGTGTTCGTGGTCGTAAATAAATCATTTGTTGTGTAAGTCTTTTCTTATATGTTTCACTTGGATTCTTCTAATGTATGACATATTGTGTAAAAGGGATGTGTCATTCTCCAATCAGGTCCAATGATCCCAATGCACATGTATCAATTTGCATGTGACTAAATAGTTTAGAAAATTTATAATTTATGGCATAAAATAGTTTAGGAAGGATATCTTATCTGCTGAAAGGCGGGATTTCTATGAAGATATGACTCCATAATTAAAGAGGTTTGCAATTCGTGTTCTAAGCTTCACTTGTAGCTTCTCTGGTTGTGAACGTAATTGGAGTTCCTTTGAAATGGTAATGAATTTTTTGTGTGTATAAACTTGATTTTAATTTGTTTAAAAATGTTGAGTTGAATTATTATTTACTATTAGGTTCACACAAAAAGAAGAAATATGTTGCCACAGAAAAAAGGTGAATAATTTGGTTTATGTCATGTACAATTTAACGTTGAAAAGTGGAAAAGTAAAATCAAATAATGTTGTTCTTTCATTTGAAGATAGTCATTCTGATGATGAATGGATAATTGAAGACCCTAATGAATAAAATATGCAATTGAAGTTAATGTTGAGTAAGATGATATTATTGTTGATAATGTTCTAGAAGCTGATGTTTTTTTATCTAATATTATGCAAAGTGGTGGTGGTGGCAATGTTAAATTAGGTGGAAGTGGAACTTCAAGCAATCCAACATTGATTAATGATGGAGAAGGTGTTTCTTTCGGGACAAAGTTTGATGATGATACTCAAGATACCGATAAAGATGATGATTATTATATTCGTGATGGTGATTTCACTAGAAATTTAAATGTTTGAAGCTATTAGCATATATGTTTTATGTTTTCATTTTTTGTTTGTTTGATGTAGTAGCCAATTAAAAAGAAATTAGTAATTTAAGTCTTTAACTACATACTTTGCAATTTTGTTTGTTTTATTATCAAGTTCTTTTGTTAAGAAATTTGTTAGAGTATGAAATTTAAATTTTAATGTTAATTGGTGCTCTATTATAGAAGCGTGTCATTTGTGTGTCACTTTTAGGTTTTTGAAAGTCATTTCTAATTTTTCCCAGACTCGTACGAGTTTGCGAGTCATGTCTACGTACTTTTTACAAGTTTGAGTAGACTCGCGAGTTTGACAACCTTAGTCTCTCAAGTTCTCAAGAATAAACTCTATTTTCTATCCAAGTGTTTTCAAATCTCTCAAACTCTATATATGAATGACATAATATCAAAGTGTTTAAAATTGTTTCTCGATCCCCTTAAATACTTTGAAAAGTCTCTCAAATTTTAAGAATTCCAAAAAATTTTTACTCTTACCTCTCTAACTAGGATCACCTCTTCCCTCTGTCTACTTTTCTTACTAACAAAAGTAATAAAGAGCCATATTTATAGTATCCTCAAACCTTAATGGGTATGATACCCAAATAAGGACAAAACAATACACATTACTGAATTTGTCCATGAATCAAACTGTTCAGGCCCGTGACTCGAGAAACAGTCGGACCGTTACCGCTCCCTAACTTTCGACCTACCGCTTGTCAAAACTTCCTCACCATCACTGTGACTTCGAATGCTGACATTTTGTTGATGAACAACACCACTTCCATCATCGATATGCCCTGCCATCGGTCGAACTTCAATTATCGCCATTTTCCGATGACCAACACCACCAAGATGCCGCCGCCATCTGCTATTGATTTTTCCTATCTTAATAATATGTTTTGTTACTCTATATCCCTAGAAGTTTTAAGACATTCTTCTAGTGCTAGTGCTAGAGTTATACATTTTTTTAACTATAAAGTGTCAGGATATTATGACTTGGTTGACCTCTGGATTAGGTTAGTTGGGGACACATTTGTGAAACAGCCAAAACTTGATATATTTATTTACATTTCCTCATCTTAGTATAAGATAACTTAATCAGGATAATGGGAATGAATGTTAGCTAGAAAATGTTTTGGAAAAACACACCAATGAGACATACCTCAATTTGATCTGCAAGGTTGATAATAAAAGCATTGGGAATAAAAGGTACAGAAACCCATTTCCCATCTTTGTTGACTTGAAGACCAGAAACTTCTGATTGCAAAAGTACAGTGAGAGCATTGAGATCAGTATGCTCAATTAGACCCATGGTTAACTCTGGATATGGACACGGTGGATAGAAATTTGCTTGTGCTTTTGGCATAGACTGGTCACCTAACTTCTTCAACAAACAATCCTCCTCTAACCCAAGCCCCATTGATATCAAACCTAAAAGCCTGCTTCCCAAAGAACCAATCTCCTTTGCATATTCACTGAATGCCTGTCTGCAAAAAAAAAATGTATATATAGATCCAAAAGTATAAAATAACAATCCATAGCTTATGATCAGAATTTTTTTGATATCTATTTAACAAAAGATAAAATCAAGTTATTTTCATATAAATAATAGTAATAGATTAGCCAAATAAGAAAATCCAAACATATATAAAGTTAGATATTAGATTCAATTAAAACATTCTCACCTGTATTGAGTTTTAATTTTGTCAGGTAGAATAGATATGATATCGTCAATAGGATACCATGGATGACTAAAACATTCACTCCAAAATTTGACCTCTTCTCCACCTTCAAGTTTAAGGGAATAATTGGCCAATTTTACATTCTTTTTAAGATCTGTTGAATAGAAACTCTCCTTTTCCTCTGATGACAGTTCAAAAAGATCAGTAATTGCTTTCATCATTTTATGGCAAACTTGTTCAGGAACACCGTGGTTCACAACTTGAAAGAAACCAAATTCCTCACAAGCCTTTGAAATCTTGTGAATAACTTCCAATGATGAAGGGTTGTTGTCATGACAGTAACTCAAATCAATTATGGGGATTGAGTCTAGAGATTTAACCTCTGAAAGGTTCGGTCTTTTGCTTTCTGGGAGGATGAATTTGTTGGGAATTACAGAAAGGGGAGAAGACTCGTTGGATAATAGGAATGACTTCATATTGATAGAAAACTTGAGGTCTAAGATCATTCAACAAAAAAGAGAAATTAATATTATATGCAAACTCACAAGTACAATCATAGGACTTATCTCAATTATTATTATTATTATTTTTTTTTTTTTTTGGTTAACAATATGTACATGTTTAAGTCAATAATTAATTATTATAGCTATTGATTTACTATCGGTTTTGATTAAGTTACACACTTTATTTACATGATATTATAAATTTTGAAAACATTTTATGTTCATCCGTTAATAAAAACAATTTGTAGAAGTAACTTCTCATATAGTACCTTACAGTTCACATGTATGGTGATATCTACATTTGTTGTTCTCTTTGATACTTGCATCACCAATTCTAAAAACTCATTAAAAATTCAGTTTTTGTATGAACGCTATCAACATCCCCGTGAAAGCCTCATGTTTGTAGTTAATATCAATACTCCACAATAACTTTAAAGATATAATAAATTAATGGACATGAAACAGGAAAGTTTTCAGCAATGGATGTTAAATGTATTGGAAAATTACACCAATGATGACTCTATCAGCAAAATTTACTAAAATTGCAGTCGTCTATCCTTAAGTATTATTTATTTTAAGAGTTGTCTATACTTTTTTTCTAGTACTCTTCTTATATAACAATTTTAACACGTCTTACACAAAGGACGTAGGCTGAATCTGGTCCATTCAAGAATTTAACTTAGGAAACGAAATATGTACACAATCCCCTCATTCAAGAGTTATGTAAGGAAGAAAAGTATTCATATGGCATACCAATAAATCGAACATGTATACAGTCCCTCAGTATGAGTTGTGTAAGGGAGAAATGCTTTTTATAAAAACCAAACATGTACAGAGCCCCTCAAGTATGAGCTATATAAGGACAAAATACTTTCTCGAGACTGTTCAATGATTATCTGGTATGCCTCAACGAATGCTCTTTTTCGGGAGAGCTTACTCTAATTTTTTAGACGTGGTAGTCTCTAATCGTGGTTAGCTAATGTTCGTTGGTCGTTTGACTGTTCCACTTCCTCTAGTTGTGATAATGGCTCAACGTCTTGGAAATAAGAGAAACTAATTACTCATCCTTACTTTCCGCGGCCCTTACATGCAGCCTTGATTTTGTATTCCACTCAAATTCGATAAATATGCTTCATATTTTCTCATTTTTCTCATGTCTTCACTTTACTTTACAAATTTTTGAGCAATACATATGCACCATTCTCCCATATTTGTCTTGAATCTTTAACAAACTCTTACGACACCATGCAATACTCCATTTCTTCTGTGTTTTCCTTTCTTCTTCTGTGGTGTTGGTTGTAACACCCTAATTTTAGTAATTATTTATTTAATTATATTATATTAATTAATTAATTGAGTGATTTTATGCATATTTGATTTAATTGAATTAATTAAATTATTTGATTTAATTGATTTATTTGAATTAATTAATTAATTTGATTTAATTGATTTGTTTTATTTATTTTATTTGGTGGAATAAAATATAGAATTGGTAGAATTAGTAATCGGTCTAGATTGGGGGTGTGAATAGAAAGTGAGAAAGTGAGTGAGTAAGCCTAATAAACTAATGAGAAAATTGTGAGATTGATAAAATAAGAGAAAGAAATAGAATAGGGTTAGAAGTTTGAAAGGAGGCTAAGGAGAGAAAGAGGAGAAGAGAAGAGGAACCTAAGAGAAAACTAAAGAATCCAAGAAAATCAAGGTAAGGGTGAATTTGTATATGATTATTGGGATTGTATGATAGTGTATGATGGGTAGTATCATATTTAGGATAAAAATCCCTAATTTCCATGATTTTGAAATTGATGATTACATTATGTATGAAGGTAAGATCCTTAAATATGCGTTGTGGGTGGTTATAATTGTCATATAATAGTAGTATTTCAAATTCTGAAATTGATACTTTTTACGGAATTGAAATCGGAGGTCCGGAAGGCCTCAAACGGTGAAAAACGCAGAAAATTTTGCATACTATACTGTTTGCGTCGACGCATCCGTCGCAGCAGTTGATGCATACTGAGTGCGTTTTTTTTGGATTTGTTTCTGTCTTCAATGTGTCAACTTATCCCGTCGATAGCGGTCAACGCATGTTGTGTATTGGTAAAATTTTCGTTTCAACGATTTTGGCCATAAATTTTGATCCGTAAGTTTGTTTTGTTCCCCGTTAAGCTAATGAATAGAGATATATCATATTATAGATAAGAGAATTAATTTTCCAATATTTTTATATCTAATAAGTTTTGGAAGCCAATTGTGCATATGTTCTATTAATGGATTATTGTGCTGTTTGCTGCCTGTTGTGAAATTATTTGTGGATAATTTATGAAGGAATACCATTTGCCAACGAGCCACTCGTCCGGTGAGAGCAGGCTTCTCGAATTTGTATTTGATAGGATCCATTTTGGAAATCAGCAGCGTTGTATGGATAAGCATATATTGCCTTAGCCGCTTTGTTACCCAAGCTAATGCACAACATGTCTTCTTAAGCATTTAGTACCTTGATTCACAATCATTAAATTTCTTGTTGAGGTAGTAGATTATATGCTCTTTTCTACCGGTTTCATCATGCTGACCCAACACACATCCCATGGATCCTTCTAGCATAGTTAAGTATATGATCAGAGGTCATCCGGGTACTAAAGGCATCAAGATCGGTGGTTCTTGTAGATAGTCTTTTATTTTCTCAAAGGCTTTCTGACAATTATCATTCCGCACAACAGCTTGACCTTTCCTAAGCAGTTTGAAGATGGGTTCACAAGTGGCAGTTAAATGAGATATGAATCTTGCAATGTAATCCAATCTCCCAAGGAAACCTCGAACTTCTTTTTCGGTTTTAGGCGCTGGCATGTTTTGGATAGCTTTGACTTTATCTGGGTCGAGTTCAATCCCCTTTTGCCTTACAATAAAACATAGCAGTTTACTAGATCTTACACCAAAATTGCATTTGTTGGGATTTAACCTCAGTTTGAATTTTATCAGTCTTGCAAAAAGCTTTTCCAAATGAATGAGGTGTTCTTCCTCAGTCTAGGATTTCGCGATCATATCATCCACATAACACTCGATCTCTTTATGTATCATATCATGAAAGAGAGTGACCATAGCCCGCTGATATGTCGCACATGCGTTCTTAAGTCCAAACAACATGACCTTGTAACAGAAAGTCCCCCATAGAGTGATGAAATTCGTTTTTTCCATATCTTCTGGCGCCATTTGGATCTGATTATAGCCAGAAAACCCATCTATAAACGAGAAGACAAAGAACTGGGTCGTATTATCCACTAGCACGTCAATATGTGGCAGAGGGAAATCGTCTTTTGGACTTGCTCTGTTGAGGTCCCTGTAATCAATGCACATTCACACCTTCCCATCCTTCTTCGGTACTAGGACGATATTTGCTGCCCATTGCGGATAGCTGGGTACTTCCAGGAAAATAGTGTCTAGCTGCTTCTGAACTTCCTCTTTGATCTTGAAGGACATCTTTGGCTTCGTTCTCCTCAAATTTTGCTTCTGGAGGGCAATCTTCTTTGAGGGGTAGCTTGTGCACTACAATGTCTTCATCTAGCCCACGGATATCTTTGTAGGACCAAGCAAACACATCAACGTACTCTCGCAACAACGTGACCAACTTTTTTTTAATCTCTGCTTCCAATGCAGCACTTATCTTGATCTCCTTGGCATCCTCTTCGGTTACCATGTTGATGACTTCAACCTCTTCTTGATACGGTTGAATGAACTTCGACTCTTGCTTTAACAGTCTAGCCAGCTCTTCTGGGAGTTCACAATCTTCCTCGTAGTCTTCGTCTGCATGGTAAATTGGGTTATCAAAGTCATATCGGACCATAGCAGAATCGTTATCAATAGGAACAGGGGATGATCTGCATGATGAATGATTTCATGCTTTCATTTTAATAAAAATGAAAAAGAAGAAAACAAAAACATTGCCCTTTTAAAAATATTTTCATGTGCAAAAAGTAAAAATGAAAGAAAGAGAGCGCAATTGGATGCAAAAGTCGTTTATTGATGATAAGTCCGTGCCTTAAAAGAAAAAGCCCTACAACATGATCTGTATGCCTTGGGCAGAGCATAGAATTTTTAGAAAAAACAAAAAAACAGGGAATTACTCATCTACTAGAATAACTTCGGGAATTTCAACGATACTCCAGTTGTTCAATGTCTGGTTGGGTTCCCTAGGGTACACCATGCACAATTCTTCATGACCACCGTCTTCAGTCTCCATAAATGTGACTTGACCTTCGACGAGATGGCCTTCACTAGTAAAAACTAATGGAGTTACAAGTCATTTACCCCTATCAGAGGCGTTCTTCTGCTTATAACTCAGACCGATTCCATTCTTGTTGATAGGCAGCTCCAACACCCTACCCCATCCTCGAGGGTGACCTTCTTCTATCACTGTCTTCGAATCTTTCCAAGTTACAATTGAAGATACCGACTTCTCATGAATCATTTCAACATTGATCACTTCAAAGGCTTGGAACAGAGTCTCATGCACTTCGTCTCCTACCTCAACATAGTGGAAAGAAGCAAGATGACTCACAAGAACATCTTCTTTGCCATCAATGATAACCATCTGATTGTTAATTATGAACTTGAGTCTCTGATGAAGAGTTTACGTTATGGTACCAGCTGAATGGATCCACGGGCGACCAAGAAGGCAACTGTGGCCCAATATTGATCGGGAGATCAACCTCGCCAATTACAGTTCTCTTGGCTCCATCAAAAGCCTTCACAACAGTCTGACTTGGATTCATCACAAGCCCTTCAATTGACATATTACACAACGAGCTTTTAGGAAGTACGTTCAACGACGACCCAGTATCGACTAGCACTCGAGAGAACACAACATCTACACATTCCACAAAAATGTGCAAGGCCTTGTTATGATTTTTACCCTCAGGAGGTAATTCACTATCATTGAAGCTCAGAATATGACTTGACGATATGTTCCCAACCACTTCTTCAAAGTGTACCACCGATATTTCTTG